ATTTTATTCACAACTTACCAATTACCAATATTCCACATCACAATCATGACACAAGACAAAAAAAACCTAAGTAAGTTTGTCTTAGTATACTAACCCCACAGGCCTTATAAAAAATATATATGTATGTTATTCCAGCAACTATTTGAGTCAGTCATACTGGCAGGATGCTCAATCAGTTCCCTCTCTGCAGTTTACGATGAGTGTGACTGTGTAGTGAGAGAAAACTTGTCTGTCTGATGCTCTGTCATTCTGGTCTATGATCTCCCTGGCCCACCTCACAGTCAGCGGTGCCATCTGTTGGTTGTTAGAAGTAGGTCCTGCCAGGGAGAACATATAATATAGCTTATAATATCTATATACATAAAAGAGGACTTGGGAGGCTTTGAGCACAAAAACTTCTCACTTATTACCTAACCGACACCTTTGAAACTTTGCAGGCGTCCACAGCATCCATGTGGCTGGGACCTAACTTTAAAAAATCCACGCAAACTGCTTTCCCCGATTTTTCAAAAATGCTTTGTTTCGTCCACACAGAGTTCTAGGCCCAGACTAACTTACGATCAACAATTTCGTAGTCTCATAAAAAAAAACCCGGAAGTGAGGTTTTGACAATGACAATGACAATCTTTATTCATCTCGCAGGGAGAAATTTGTCTTGGTCGTTAACAATGGCAGTAAACGTTACAAAAGTTAGACTTAAAGGTGCACTCACGCAAACGCACAACAAAACAGGACATTAGGCCAAGTAAATACACGTCTCACGGGCTGGGACAACCCGCTCCGTAAAACATTCATTTATCATTGGGTGTAACCGGGGCTTAAAAGATGGAGGGGTGTTCATCTGGTGTATGATTTGTGTAAACAACTACACATTAACACATTCTATTCAGAACTTACTAACATGTCAGGACATGGGACTTCCCCCCAAAAAGTAAGGTACGCTTAGTGTGCAAACTACATAGGCCATATATAAAATATACAGTAGAACACGGATAGGTCGATCACAGAGGACTCGAAATCACGCATCCCTCAAACTGTGTCAGTGGACCCCCTTTTTTTTCTTCCTTTTTTATCTTTGTAAGAAAATAATGTGAAGCTCGAACACAAACAAGGAATAGTCGAACTAATCGCGCCACCGTAGACGTTTAAAGTGAATGTCCTTTGAGGTGCCCTCGAGACAAAATAATAATGATAAAAACGGGCAAAGACAAGGGCAGTAAATTACCACCGTTCCCCTTCACAGAAGCAGCTAGCTGAGCTATTTTTAGGGCGCTTCTCGATACGCGTGCCTAATGATTAGTAGCTAGGCTTGTGTGGAGCGGGCGAGAGGAAGGTCAGTGCATCAAACGATCATCAAGCGATTTATTGTTCTGCTCCTAAAGTAGTAGCAGCAATCTTTGTCGCATCTCTTAATTCTCTGACACAACCAGTGCCATAACACTGGTCATGGATCTCTCCAACTACAGATCACTCCAACTACAGATCACTCCAACTAGAGATCTCTCCAACTACAAATCTCTCCAACTACAGATCTCTCCAACTACGGATTACTCCAACTACGGATTACTCCAACTACGGATTACTCCAACTACGGATCACTCCAACAACCAAGGCTGGTTCTGACGAATTCGAGCTATCCGTGTTATACTGAATGTTGGTCATATATTTATATATGTGAACAGTTTCACAACAAAATGCAACAACCGCCACTTTCTGAATTTGGACGAAACATCTACCATTGTTTCCAGGACGGTGAGGCACATTCCGGAGTCAACTTCTTTTTTCACAAAACACGAGGAAAAACTGAAGAAAATTGTGCTTATTTACAAAAATTGATAAAAAAACGGTACGCCTCTTTTGACAAAACACAACACATCCTCTGGGCCGCAATCAAGCTCTTTCCAGGAATTACCTGATTTCACTTGAGGTCGATGAAAATTTGTCGGCAGATCTTTCCCCTCCTTATTAATACAGTGTGGATACGTCATGTTTTGTCAAAAAGAGGCTGAGATTTCTTTAATCTAAAGGATAGGAATCCACCATGGATTTCAGTACACAGCAAATATCAACTAAGCCTTACACCACATTCACTCTAGTATCAAAGTTGCTAAAGACGATTCAGCAATTGGGCGAAGAACAAAAATCTTCATTTTATAAAAAAATGCGAAAAATGGATATGTCGCGTTTTGTCGTGAGTATATTATATAATATTATATGTGTGCGTGTGTGCGTGTGGGTGCGTGCACGTATGTCTGTGTGTCTGTGTGAGTGTGAACAAGTGTTTGCGTGGTAAACCAATGTGTGGGAGTGTGTGTTCCCTCTACAGTGTATCTTTTGGCCTTTGCCTGGCATGTCACGTGAGATCATCTGTATTGTCCCTACTCATATGTGTCAGATTCTTTGTTAAAACTAAGTGTGTAAAGAACGTGATCACCTAGAGTGTTACACGAGTACCCATCCAGTGTGTTGGACGTGTGTCTACTCCCGCTGTCATATAATATGGGTGTGCGTGTGTGTTTGTGTGCGCGTGCGTGCGTGATGTGTGTGTGTGTGTGCGAGTGTGTGTGTATGTGTGTGCAAGTGTGTGTGTGTGTGAGTGTGTTGGTGTATGTGTGTGTGTGTGTGTGTGTGTGTGTGTGTGTGTGTGTGTGTGTGTGTGTGTGTGTGTGTGTGTGTGTGCGTGTTGGTGTATGTGCGCGCGCGCGCGTATGTGTGTTCCCCTCACACGTTGCATGCCATATACTCACACACTGTCCTCGTCGTTGAGCAGCGTGGACTCACAGTAGATCAACTCCACCTGTGCCTGGGGGGGATCCAGAGTTAGAGTTTACATTTAGCAATAGATTTATGCATTTGTCTGTCCCCATGGTTTTACTGGCGCTCATATGACCTTATGCATATAGTTGCGAGCGCCGTAAAACCCTCTACTATAATAAAAAATAATGTGGTTTTAGACAACCCGCATAATTTAGCAATATTTGATCATTTTTTGCAGAATTGCTCATTATTTTCCTTTATCATTCTTTGTTAAAAATTAACAGAATCGCATAATTTTATATATTTGGGCCCAGTTTGCATAATTTCAGAATTTATTTAGCATAAAACCACGGGACAGATTGTTTGCTTGGTTGTTTAAGTAAAAGAGATTTTGTCTTGTTTTAGTTAGAGTTTTACGGCAGTCGCAACTGCATAAGGTCATATGTGCGAGTGGAAAAAAGTTGGTTCTTTTCGCAACAGCACATTTCACAGCTAAAAGAGAGTACAGTGGAGTACGTTTATGAAACTAAATACAGTCAATCCCAAAACAGCAGTAAACCTAAAGAAAAGAAAGTTCCTGATTTTTCTCCTTTCATTTCAGCAAACTCTTTAAACCAAAAACTGTGTAAACCAAAGAAAGTTTTGCGGTCTTGAAGATTTCGGTTTAAGTGGACTGCACTGTACATCGATACATTAACAGCCATTAAGTACAATGAAAGAGCGAGATAGACAGACAGAAACAAAACAGGGATAGCAAAGAAGTAGAACCTACCGGTGATGCCCTCCAACCACCACTCACTCGTGTGCGACTATGTGAGTAGATACACATGGGTCAGAATTAGTGCATAAGGTGGGTGGTTGGTGGGTGCTCTGGTGTGGTTTGCTCCTTCTTTCCTACCAAACATCTGTCGTCCTGATATCTCCTCCTTCTTTTGTGTGTTTGTTACTCTCTTGTAACACTTGTAATCTTCGGCACTTATATGACCTTATTGTGTTGCACGTGCCGTACAACTCTCACTAAAACTATTAGTACGTAAACAAAACACTTATGTCATGGTCAATTTGTTGACAGACTACTCTAGAGCCTCACAGTCCCAGCTAACTCAGGTTTGAGGGCCTGTAAAAAGTAGTTAGTGTATGGGTGTAACTCCCCTAGCAACATTTTAAGTGAGATGGGACCTCTAAATTTACAGTCCGTTTCCAATAGAATTGGGCCAAATGGGTTGATGGTCTTGAAAGCTCCACAAAACGACCCGAGTTCAAGAACACCCAGTCTGTAATTCAAACTAGGGTCATCTGCCCTGTGGTCCAGTATGATAACAACTGAGCAAACAGAGCACCTTGAGGGCCTGTGCCAAGAACGATAACGCTCACTCAGTGGTTGCTCTTCGCCATAGCATCCTTCCAGTATGTGAGTCCACTGCCATCCTCCCCGGTTGCTAACCATTGGCCTACTGTCACCAACTTCCAAGCTGCCAGATTTTATGGTGGCAGTGCCCCAGCTCTTTAGTTTTTGGTAGAGTTTTACGGCACTTGCAACATATTAAGGTCAAATAAGTGCCGAAGATGAGAGGTGATACAAGAGAGTAACAAACACAAAATAGGAGGGGAGATAAAGATGACAGATGGTTGATAAGAAAGAAGGAGCAAACCACACCTGAGCACCCGCCAACCACCCATCCCCAAGCTCTCTCTCTCAACTTTTTTGGAAGACACAAAAGCGATGACAAAGACTTAATGAGCAGCCACGGACAAAGAAACACGTGAACTCAAGAGACAATGAATATATTTATCGATAAAGCACTTCTCAGTTCTGCTGGGGTTCCACATGGGGGGGGGGGGGGAGAATTGAATCTTGTGCAAGCCTGATCCTCCAGATCTCATGTTCATGGGTTATGTCAAGGGAAGCAATCGCTTATATAAACAAGCACTTTCAAATCAACATTGATTCCGTCCCTTTAGACTCGCTCCAAGACATATTCAGAACAGATGACCGCATTTTTACCCATACAACGACGCTCACGTTAGTTACACCTTTTCTATAATGAACACTTTGGATTCAACAAACTTGGCGGTTGGGTCCGACAACTTCATTAAAAGCAAGTCTCACTGTACGAAGAAACCCTATCATATTGACTGTCCAATGTAACATACGCTGTACGTCATTTTGAGTCTTACCCAGAACAGTGAATATGTTCCAGGAAGAGGGTTTTGTGTTTGTTTTTTCTCAATGTACGTGATTTTACACTCCCGTCAACACAATGTACATCAGATAAGACGTGGGCTTTTCCCACCCTGCCTGTCAGGGCCAACTCTGGCTGGGGGGGATAAAACAATAAAACATCCCGGCAGCATGACTGAGATAAACAATCAAAATTTTCCCTATTTCTGTCCCCGTGATTTTATGCACCCCCCCGCATAATTTAGCAAAATTTGACCATTTTTTGCATAATTTCTGATTATTTTCCTTTATCATTCTTTGTTGAAATTAACAGAAACGCATAATTTCACATTTTTGGGCTCAGTTTGCAAAATTTCAGAATGTTTCTTGCATAAAACGACGGGGACATTATTTGGGAATCAAACTCGGGTCTCCAGTGTGTGACAGTGAAGCGCCTAACTGCTGCACCTTAGATGCCAGTTGAGAAAAAGTGTGCGAGTATGATGTAACAACAGGGAGGAATTCCACAGCCCATCGAGTTACACAGCTCTTTACTGAACAGAAACTAGAACTTTGAACAATAAAAGTGAAAGTTTTCAACATCCTGGACATAAATGTCATGACCTGTTTGTACCTACACACGTACAAAACAAGACTGTTGCACTCACCCCAGAGTCGGAGCCCTGGAGTAATCTCTCGGCTTCTGCGGCCGTGACCCCAACTAGAGACTGACCATTGACCATCATAAGCTGGTCACCGACACGAATCTTGCCTGAGGAACAGAACAAACAAATTCATACAATCACAAAAGTTACAACCTCGTTTGGAAAACTCACACAAAGGTTAGAATCTTAGAAACTTGCCTGAAGAATGGAGCAATCAATTCAATACTATAGTTTTAGCTTAGTTTTAGTTAGTTTTACGGCACTTGCAACACAATAAGGTCACATAAGTGCCAAAGAACAGAGGTGTTATAAGAGAGCAACATACAAAAAAAAAAAAGCAGGAGAGATAAGGACTACGAATGTTTGATAGGAAAGAAGAAGAAACATATATATATATACACATAGACATATTTGAACTTTGAACGAACTAGTCCAACAAACAACGCACATACAAAAAAATACCACAGTCATTCACACTGACCACATACACATAAGGATTGAACTTCGTCAGAGTCAAAGACAGAATTTAGCTGAATTTCTTAGTTTGGTTTTTAGTTTTAGTAAGAGTTTTACAGCACGTAAAACACAATAATGCGACGTAAGTGCCGGAGATTAGAGGTGCTGTTTTTTAGTAAGGTTTTACGGACCTCACAACTGCATAAGGTCAAATGAGCTATATGGGATGGATGTCAACAGAGAAGTCCTCAGAGGGAATCAGGCTTACTCTGCTCACCTCTCTAGCCTCAACAGCACAAAGTCTGCTTCAACTATCAAGGCACCCCCGAAATAGCGGATCCCAAGAGTGTGACAAACATACAAAAGAAGTAGAGGAAAATGATAATAGTAAGGATGAGGAAAGAAAAAGCAGCAGTTCCCCCTATGTTGTTCTGGCACAGTATGAGCATGACATTGATAAATCAGCCCATTTACAACAATTCTGCAGTGCATAAGAACATATTAATAAACCCCCTTTGGGAATGGCCTAAAGACACTTCGGTCAGTAACACTGTCCTGGGGAGGGGGGGGGGGGGGGCTTAGAAGTGCTACTAGAAAGTAACAAACAAAGAAAAGAAGAAGGAGCGAGAAGGAAGACAGATATTTTAGAGGAAAGAAGGAGGAAACCACATCAGGGTGCCAGCCAACCACCCACCAGCTGGAGTTCATGTCAAAGTTGTGAAACACCCTAATGTGTGTACTGGACAGAACTACAGAGACAGGACACGAGTGTTTCACTGCCACTGTGCTAGACATAACGAGAAAGACAGGACACAAGAACAGTATAGTCTACTTAAACCAAAAGCAATTAACCCTATCCATACATTGTGTTTTACTATCGTATCCAAACGACGTGGGGAACTCTGTGCCACCACTTTCCAAAGAGGAAATTTACTCGTTAATCTGAGCTGTACGCTTTGCATAGCAGTCTGTCAAAATGATTTTGTGAGAAATACTGAAAGTTTCAAAGAGATCTTCGAACTAAAAGTATACTGAAATGTGAAAAATTCAACCCTGTGGGTACAAAATGACCCCAGGGCGTACGGATAGGGTTAATCCAAACACAGAGGTAAACTGTAAGAGAATAGAATCCCCCCTTTTTTCCCTTCTATTTGGGCAACCTCTCTAAATCAAAAACTTTGTTAAAATGAATAAAATCGGGTGACCCTGCAGATTTGGGTTTAAGCGGACTCCACCGTAAGTTTGACTGACCACTGCGCTGGGCGACGCCTCCATCAAACACCATGGCCACCATGATCTTGCCAGCGAGCGGTGACCCCACTCCGCCCTCGACCTCCACGTCCAGCTCCTGACTCTGTGGGTGGAGGAAGGAAACGCCATCTTTACTTGGGGAAAGAGTATAGGTCTGTCCCTGTGGTTTTATGCGCCTCGCATAATTTAGCAAAATTTGATCATTTTTTGTATAATTTCTGATTATTTCCCTTTATCATTCTTGGACAAACTTAACAGAATCGCATAATTTCACATTTTTGGGCTCAGTTTGCATAATTTCAGAATTTTTCTCGCTTAAAACTACGGGTACAAATAGGTTTAACTCCCCTTGCGACACTGTGAGCTTATTTAAGAAGTAGGACCTCTGAATTTATTGTCCATCTCCGAAAGGACTCAGCCAAATGGGGAAATTCGTGTAAAGTGCCCTTCCCAAGGACACAATGTCAGACTGAGCTGAAGCTCGAACTGAAGTACGAGGCACACACTGATAGACACAAACCTGCCCTCTTTTTTGTTTGTTGCGATATATGAATTTTTCCCCTATATTCGTGGTTTAAATACAAGAAAATATACCCCCAAAAAAATTCAGATTCTGAAAATCGGCATGCTATGCGCGTGTTCATTGTGTGTATGTGCTAGACTGTACATTATTCTTTGGTTACATTATCCACACTCAACATCAAACCTTATTAAATTCCATAAGTTTTGATGACACCATTTACAAGTTGAATACATTTTTGGACTACAGTCAAAAACATACATGTTTTCTTTGTCTTGCACTCTAGCAGCAAATCTACAAAGCAGCAATGCCCTTTCAACTTTTCTACTATTCCATGATCGAAAGCATGCTGCTATTTTGTTTTTGCTGCTGGGCTAGAAACGAAACTGCAGAATGCAAGACCCATCACACCCCCCTCCACAAATGTTGACATCAAGCAGCAGCAGGTACATATATCACTGAGAACCAACAAAAGAATTTCCTAACATCTGTCATAAGGCTGCTGTCGAAATAAACACTTCAATAGGCCTATGTATTGCTGTTGATTTTTTATCTACGCACACAATATACAAATATATGTGTCATGACACGGTGGAAACCCGTGCTCATCAGTTTTTGGGCATATGGAGTTATTGATATTATCTTCAAGCTTATTCATTTGTCTTGCTTTCCATGAAAAGAATACCCATCTATCATGTACAGAAGCTGATTTATTTGTGTTTAATGGAGGTGGGGGATCACGTGGTAGCACAGGGAAAACTGCAAGAGAATGACCGCCAAAGGTGGGGGACTTCCAAAGTTTAAGAGTCCTTGAAAAAAGCAAATTAACATTTAATTTTGCTGTGCCTCTAATCAGCGTTTTGCAGTAAAATCCACACAGAAACGTGTTTTCACATGGACATAAAAGGTGTTTAAGCTAAAAAACAAAAATTTGATAAAAATTGCCCAATTAGCGGAAAAATGACGATTTCTTCGATTTCATTATTTTAAACAGCGTCTGATTTAATCAAGATGCCTCACATATAGCTTAAAAAAATTAGAGATAAATTCCTGCATGTAGTTTGAGAGATGCATCTGATGTGACACGTATTATTGTCAGCTTTTATTTTTCTCTTCGTGTTAAAATTTTTTTCTGATAGTAACAGACACTTTTGATTTTATGTTCATGGGCATGTGTTTTTACCTTTCCCAAATTTCCCACAAAGGCAATACTGCCGTAAGCTGACAAAACGTCTTTATTCATTTTGGCGCCAAAAATTCTAATTTGCTAAACCAAAAGCCTGATCACTTACCCTTCTTGTGAAAAAAACCCAAAGTGAAACTGTGACTAGTTTTTAAATAAATCAGAATTCAAATCTCAGAAGAACGCTATTCTTAAATGGCTACATTGACAAAAAACCTCTTTTTCTCGAAACTGCTGTAAATAAAAAAAGGTGTTTTGTCAGCCTACAGCAGAATACAGTATTATCTTATCTTATCGTAAAATGACA